ATAGTATACATTTGAAACCGGATGAATCCTTTGTTTACATTGGGGGAGTTTCGATTTTATGACTCCAGCAGATTCCGTAAGAAGGCTAGAGATGCAAAACTTCGGTTTTACCACAGTTTTGTGCCAGTTTCGATGTCTTTAGCTGCGGAGTCTTGCCGGAGTCGGGCGGAGTCGGTACACCTGCTGAAACCCTGTTTACAATGGGGAAAGCGTTGAAAGAGTTCCAACTTTGTGACTCCAGACGACTCCGCAAGAAACCGCAAGATGCGCAAGATAATGTCACTAAACTGTTCGATTTGTTCGATGCGCCTCTTGGTTGCTGCGCATGTGTTGGTCAAGCCGTGGTTTGCCTCGCCTCCTCCTACACCTTTCACTGCTTCGAGAAAAGAGATGCCTTTTGACTCGATCTAAACCAGCCGAGGTCATCTTAAGTCTTAGGAACGAAGGGCTTGCTCGGCCAAAGAAATCTGTCCGGAGGAGATCACGTACTAGGCAATGTTTGGACTGACCAGCTCCCCCTTGCAGCGTCCAAGGATCTTGACCATCAACGCAGTACTTCCCGGCCTCATTGTTAGGAGACGTTCCTGACAGACCTTCGTCCTGTGGAACACATGACCTCGCTTGGTTTCGCACATGCTGGTAGGTTTCTCCACCAACTTTGCTTTGAGGTTTGTACACATGAAACAGCATGCCAGAGCTTTGCCAACTTGAAGTGTTTCTGCCATTGTAAAGTGTCCGATGGGACGTGTATTCCGAGTTTGTTCGAAGTTTGTACATGTGAAACAGCATGTTAGAGTACCGGCAGCCAGCGTGCTTTTCTTGAGTCTTTTCTGGGCGGGTTGATGCTTGCTCATGTTGCCGGAAGCGTTAGAGAATGGCAAATCCATGTGTCTCACAGGCAGATTGCCATTCAGCAACTACTGCATCAGTAGTCTGGCTACTGGCTTTAGATTTCTTCACTCTATGTGTATCCCCTTGGCCCAGAATTTTAATATTGGATGTTGTGCAAACGAGAACCTTCTTAGATTGATCGCACCGGCGCGTTCGATTTTTCACGTTTATGTTTGTATCAACATTGGTCTTGGGATCGTGAGTCCCTTTCTAAGACTTCCAAGGGATTGCATATGAGTGATGTCGCCATGCACTGAAGGTCTTGCGAGGCTTCATCATTCTGATTAGAACGAACATTTTGGCGATCACTTGAAGAAGCACATCCGAGCGTAAGCTTTTCATACCCATTTGACTCCCACACAACGTGGATTGTCGAAACTGCTTTCACAATGGACATCAACCAAGTTGTCCTCGTGGCTCATTTGATGCCTCAGAGCATAAACGGCCGTCCGAGCAATTTTTTTTTTCCGTCCAACGCCAGATGGCTCTCGCCAGGTCGTTTATCAAGCCGGAAAGACAATTGCATTGTGCAAATTCACCAGATACCCGAAATTATCAGGTTTTTTTTACTTGCAATCTGCTTGGCCGCTCATATGTTGATTGTAGATCTAATGTTGACTACAGTGGACTGAAATTTCTTTTTTGATCTATGTTGGCTTATTTTTTCCAGTCACAATATTCCAAATTGGCATGGGAAGAGCATCACTCCATCAGTGCCATCGCACCTGCAATTCCATAAGTGATCGCTTGCCGCGGGCGCCAGTGATTACGCCCGGGGTTTCAGAAGCTGTGGTTGCAAATACCGCAATTTACAAGAGATCGCAGAGGGACAAATTCCACTAAGATCATTAATGCAGTGGCAACATCAGTCATGACGACAATGAGCAAAAAAAAACAGAAAAAAATAAAAAGCAAAAAAAATGGCAAAAAAAAAGAAAAAATGGACATCAACCGTCTTGCCTGCTGCACTGAGCTCAAAGCACTACAGCGGGTCGAGACCTGCCTCGAAGCCTGTTTTGTTCTGATTTCCAACTGGAGTTCAAGACTTGCATTTAGACCTGCCTCCAACTTTGTTTCATCCTGGAATTTTTTGGTCTGCTGCAATTTCCACAATCTTGAACCCAACTCGATGTTGGTTTGTGAGGTTGATGTGTTTCAACATTGGAACAGCGCAGCTGAAGAAGGTGCATGGGTGGGCTTAAAACCGGACCTTGAAGGAGGCACCGGATTCAACCTGCTGAGGGTCCAGTTTTGGATCCCCCGTGCAAAAGAAACGTGTTTCAAAAAGGTCAGAAAGTGGACCCGCTTGAAATCAAAACTGGTCCCTGGAGGGTCCAGTTTTGGTCCCTTTTTGATCCCTTCATTGTGGCAAATTTGTTGAGGCGTTTATTTCAAGTTGAAGCTGATTTGACCAGCAACAGCTGCGGCTGGAATCTTGAACTGGGGAGGCCCATTTTTGCGCGCCTGCTTTTTCTTATGTTTTGAGGTCCAAAAAAGGGCCCCTTCTTTGTCATATTGTTTTGCTCCAATTTCCATAGCCTTGAGGCCCTCGAGGCCTGCCTCGAAGCCTGCCCTGACGTGTTTTGTCCTAATTTCCATGGTCTCGCGACACTGGAGTTCAAGACTTGCATTGAGGCCTGCCTCCAACTTTGTTTCATCCTATAATTTTTTTTGGTTTGCTGCAATGTCCATCACCTTGAAGCCTCGAGGCTTGCCTTGAGGCCGTCCCTTTGCGCTAGCTGTGGCTTAAAATTCTATCGAGGCAGCACATGCAACAACTACTTCAAGTTCAGCCTTGCTGGGACTTCAACAATAGTATTATATAGTTTCGAGTTCATATGAGCCTCGCTTTGTCCTTGTGCCAATACGTTTTGCGTCCGCCCAGGCCTCGCCGAGCCTCGAAGCGCCTCGATTGCATGCTTTGGAAACACGCGACCTCTTGCATCAACATAATAGAAAGGGAAAGGTTGTCATAATCAAGACAAGGAGGTACAAGAGGCTAGTGTTGGGCTCGTTTTTTGCACCTGAAACTGATATGATTCTTGGAGACGGAGTTGGGGCGTCCCTTGTATGGCTGAAAGAGGTGAGGGAAATGGTGGTTACCACTGGATTGCCACCTGTGCCTGGAACACCTAGTCAGCAGAGTAGACAAAGCGCAGTAGGGTCGCAAAGGTCTGGGATGGATGGACAAACACCGGAAGGAAATGTTCCGCCTGGGTTTCAGCACACAATGCTCCAGCAGAAGCCACAGCAACAGCAAGCAAATGTGTCACAGAATGCGCAGAGATTTGCGAGCACGACAAACCTGAATGCAGATGGTCAAGGTTGTCCGCAGGGATGTCAGCAAGGAAACATGCCCGTAATGCAGCAAGGGATCAGCATGGTGTGGTGCACAATGGATTCCCCAACAACAAACATTTATGCAGCAGACAGCGCAAGCGCGTGTACCGAGTTTTGGTTGTGCGAGCATGCCTGGTGGACCAAGGCCTTTTGGCTTTCCAAACTTAGGAGTGAACCCGATGAATTACCAAGGAAACATGCCGAGTGGCACGCTTGGAGCGACTTTGGGAGGTTTGACGCCTCAAGCAGCGCAGATCCAAGAGGTTTTGGTCATGTTAGGTAATCTGAATGAAGGGCAGTGAATGAAGACAGTTGCAGGCAGTGCAACAGCATATGCAAGATCGTTTTTGTGACTATGCAGCAACGAAGAGGGGTTCAGAAGTGTTTGGTGATGACAGTCAAACAACCATGGAAACCAGCAACAACTTGACGTTTTTGCAAAGAGTGAGAAGTGGCTCACCCCAGCACCGACCGACTCCAGTAGGCACGTAGAAGACTAGAGAAGAGGAAGTCTTAGGATGGGCTGACTATTTGGATGAGTTGTCATCCTGGGCAGCTGGTAGTAGTTTGGAGTTTTCGGTTGAGATCCAGTAGCAGATGGCCAGGACCTATCAGATGGTGCTCTGCGCAGAACGAGGTGAACTGATGTGGCTGATTTAAGAGCTGAAGCAAAGCGGGCGTTGAAAAGTATGCTGAGGAGTTGGTGAAACTCTATGGCTTAGAAACAAGAAAGCCAAAGACAACACCAGACATCAATGGCGAGGTCTTTGACGCCAAAGAGCTGGATCAGAAGGGGCAGAGCAAGTTCAGATCAGCAATGGGTACACTCTTGTGCCTAAGCCAAGATCGGGTGGATCTCCAACATGCTTTGCAATTCTGACGCAAAAAAGGACCTCATCAAGCGGGATGCTCACTCGTCGGTCTTTGCGGTGACATTCGTTTAACTCTCGGCAGCACCTGTCAGCAGTCAGACCGCTATGCGGGTGTGAGCCAAGTTGATAGCTGCGTGGAAGGCCAGTTGGATGATTTCTTTTCGGTGTTGGACCCTGGCCCCGTTTGCTGTTGCTTTTCGTTGGTGGAATGATGAAGCGCAGTTCTGGCTGGGGAACTGCGAGTCGTCGCTTCTGCGGGTTTTTTGTTTGTTTCGTAACTGAGCCGCTCCAACTGTTTTGAGCATATCGGCCACATTCCGAGGAGAAAAAAGGGCGGATCTCCAACATGCTGCCCGGCACCTGCGTGAGCCAATTTATGGCCAAGCCAACAGTGTCAGCTGAAATATAGGTGTCAAGCACCTGATTCTTCAAAGGAACATCTGACCTTGGTGTGCTACTTCTCTACATAGTTCCTGGTAAAAGCAAGCTGGATTAAGTTCGAGGTGGCTCGAGTTCTGTGGATCACGAGAAGGAGCTGGTGGAAGCACTCACGGATGCCGATTGGGCTGGAGACAAGTCAACACCTGCAAGGCGACGACATTCAGTGTCACATCAGCTCTGATCTTTGTGGACAACAGGTTGGTGACTTCATGGTCCCGCACCCAAAAGAGCATAGCTCTCAGGAGCTGTGGGAGTGAATACCTTTCTGCTGTCGGAAGTGGTGCTGAGTCCCTCTACGTAGCTTCCTGGCCAGGAAGGAAGTGGTGGCAAGAATCGCTTCAGATTCTTCAAGTTGCCGAGCCTTTGCGCAACGGCAAGGCGTGGGCAGGATGAAGCACATCGATGCCAAGTACCTTTGGGTTCAGAGCAAGGTGAAATCTAGAGATTTGGAGATGGATGGAGTGGCCACTGGCCGCGGTCGTCAACGTGGCTGACATCAACACCAAGCTCACCAAGGCCGGTGGATCCTTCCTCATGTATTTGATTGGCCTGGTGGAGTATAACAATGTGAGCACAGGGTATGTCCCAGCAGGTGAGGATGAGTTCAACATCTACATGCAGAAGAAGTACATGGGCCAAAGTATGAAAACAGTTCGACAAGTCGTTCCGAGCATTCTGGCCAATGGCATGGATGAGATCCCGAACCAGATCTCGAAATCTTTGGTCAAAGCCATGACCCTACTAGTCCTTCAACCTGTGGCAAGTGGAGCTCGTGCGGATGAGCTGAAGCATCATGGTCAAGCACTGTGGGTACATCGAGCTCTTCCTGGAGATTCCGTACTTTATGCTTGGGTATGCCCTCGTGTTCTTCCTGGTGGGAATGGTGGCTGGATACTTTGTCAAGAATGCCATCGTCTACAAGATCCAATTGAAGCAAGTGTTGGAATGGGCTACCGAGCAAATTGGGTTTCACAAGCGGGAGATCGGGTTCATTGATGATTGGGATCCGGAGAGGCACGAATTGAGGCAATTCAGGGTGCTTCCTCCGTGGACTACGCCGAATCTGGCGAAGAATGCTTCCGCGAGGTTGATGGTGGCATGGCACGCTTCGTGAAGCTGGACAGACGCCGCCGACTGCGGCACGGATTCGCTGAGATTGGCGTGATGAATGCCTACGCACTTCCAGATGGAGAAGAAGCAGAAGAAGAATCAATGGAGGTGGATGAAGAAGCCCTACCGCCAGTGGCAGCCGTCTCAGCAGCGATGGCGCACGGACAAGTTGGAGACGGACCCGGGACTACATCCATGTGGAGTCCTACACCCGGGACAAGTTCTATGCCAAAAGCTGCCAGGTCAGAGTCAGCGACTCGTGAATACATGTCGCTTCCTGGCCCACCCCATTCGGACCATGAGCTGCCTACGCTGCCTCGTCAAGATGTGGACTGGGATGACATGGACGAAATTCGGAAACACCTTCCGGTGACTGAGAGGCAAAAAACCCTGCAAATGCAGGAAGTAGCTTTGTTCGATGCGGTGACCTTTAAAGAATATTTGAAGGTCCATTTGTCCAGTCTTTACCCAGGACAACCTGACATGTGCGGGGACTATCCAGCCTGGTGGACACGCAGTGAGCGACACGGGTTCACAGTCTTTTCAGACATCCTCATCCGGGGCATGTATTTTCGAAATTGGGGAACTTTTGTTGAGCAATGGTTCATCCATCAGAGCCTATCTGGCTGTAGCAGTGGTGGTGGAATGCCCTGAACTGAGGATTAGCAAGAATTCATGTCTCACGGTTTTTCACCATGATTTTGAGGCGGGGTGTTCAACATTTCCAGTGAAAGGCCCATGCAAGGATGACACGCACAAACAGAGAAGTGTCATGTCAACATGTGCAATAGCTGATGCACAACATGTGCGTTTGCGCCGTTTGTCAGTGGCTCAGACAGAAAAACCAAAACGACACGTTGCTGCCACTCCACATTCCAACAGTATCATATACCATGCGAACTGACAGGTTCTAGCTCCAAACTGTTGCAAACACAAGGCACATAGCACCAGCAAAAAACCAAACCTTACCAAAAAAAAATGGAAGTATTTTTCAGCCATAGTCAAGTGATGGCTTGGACATATGACATATGCCTGTAATTGGTTTCTCCAATCACAACCTCACGTATGCATAGCAGAGCAACGTGTGCAACATATGTGTGTTTTCCGATTTAAAAGTGCGTACATGTAGCCCGTAGCCGTTTTCATTCAAAATTCGACATGAACTGCAAAACACATGTTCTGAATGAAATTGATAGCCGACATGACATTCACCATTGCAAGTCAAAAATGTCAACACCACTTGTTGCACAGCAACACTTGACGAGGTGCACACTGATAACCCATGCAACAAAAATAGGCACAAAACCACAAAGACCAGCGAATTGCGTCCGATTGCCACCTTCTCTTATGGCCTTGGTCTTGGAAATAAATTGTTTTGACGGGATTGGAGGTGGGTTCACGCGAAAATGCAATCTTTGTTTGCTACGAAAAAATGGATTGTTTTTTTGGAACTATGATTTCATGCGGTTTTGACGCCAAAATTGTAAAATGTGTTGGTGGTCTTGGTTTCACTAAAAGTATTCCAATGTTTGATTTAATTGTAATACATTGTGACAATAAACAGATTCCACCGACGCTGAATCCCATGGTGGCCCATTTTTAACCCGCCGTTCCGAACCCATTATTTTCACCATGTCCAAGGTGCTCACAGGTGCATCCGCGGTTTGATTGCACCCACGATATTTTGAGAATGGTGATGTGGGAGATGGATGGAGATGGAACATCCCAGCCAACAGTCGTATTATAAACATACACACAAATGGTCGGACATTTTGCCGTATGTATAGAAAAAAAATGAGACGACCTCAAATCCCAAAAACATTTCCTTAAACTGTTGGACATATGTGACTTAGCAATCTTATAAATGGTTGATACCTTCACATGAAATCTGCAGTTTGACCCGCATCAAACCTTTGAGTTTCCGGGTCCAAGGGCTCGGAAGACATCGAAATTTTGTTCATCAAAAAGGGTGAAATCGGGTCACATAGACCATAGACCCACAATTCGACAATTCAACGTTTGGGATATTTTTTTTACATTGTTTCAATCTCTGAACCATGCCGGTCTAACAAATTTAGAGACACATGGCAAAACGGCAAAACAGGTCGGTACATGTGTGGGGAAACACGGAAAATTCTTCCCGAAACCTGGAATGAAACTCACCATCTTCAAGTCGGAAACTTGGGTAGGTTTTCTTCATCTTCTGTTTGATTCAACATTCGGACACTGGAAATACTGGAACTTGTCCATAGCCATCCTGATGATTTTCGACAGGTGACCAGCACTCGACATCTTCCTCCGGGTGGTTTGGCAACATTTTTGCAACACAACAGGGTGGTTGGTTACATTTATATGGACATCACTTGGCCATATATTCGTAAATCCGTTGGCAAATTGAATTACATCCGTTTGAAATCAATAATCCATACTGTTGATTCCATGACTCCAGTTTCAAAGTGGGTTAGTTCACCCAATGAATTCAGTAGGGTAGGTAGGGTCATTGTCCAGTTATAACTGGGGTGAACTAAGCCACTTATTCACTGGCATGAGTCACCAAGTATATTTCAGCTGACCTGGAACTGTGTTTTTGCATGTTTTTGCCAAACCTCGAGCTTAGGGTTTCAGCCAAGGTTGGTTCATTTCAAGATGATCTGAAATTGTGAAAGGATGGGTCATGGGTTTTCAGCCTGAAATTGCGAAGTGCTTGCACGCTGAGATGCTATTTTTTATTGTTGGACCTCACACTCCGGAGGATATTAGTTGTTTTTGCTGGATAAAGACCAGGTTGCCAGTCTACCAGGCACACCAAACGGGGGTATATTGGAAATTCCAACAAAATGGTATATTTTAACGGCAATTTAACATAGCTGTGGAATATCATCATTTTAGCAGCTCATCATCATTTTCCATAGGCACTGTAATCCTGCATCAGTTGGTATTCGTCTTATCCCATTACTTACAGTGTTTCATTGTTACCAATAGGAATTGCAACTGGTGCAGGATGGTTTGTCCATCCATAGCTATGTTGACTTATAAGTTGGTTTGTAAACACATTGTATAACTATAGCTATAATTCCCCATAAACCCTAGTTAGCCAAGCTATGTTGAATTACCAGCTGGGAACCATTCCTTTTGCGCCAATTGAGGCCTCGCGCTGCCGAACCTGTCGAACCTGCTGGACCTGCTGGAAACAGAGAGGCGCTGCAAATGGCTTTTTGGGGCTTTCTGTATTAGATACACATATAATATGTATGTATATATATAATATAATATGTGTATATATATATATATGTATATATATATACACATACCTATATCTACATACCATGCATCTCCGCATCTCTGCCAGGCATGTCCGGACACTGCAGGTGGCCACGGCACGTTTGGAGAGTTCCCTCATCAGATAAATGCTGTGAATCTAGTGGTTCATCAGCGTCTTCTCCATGAAGACTGGCGATTTCTTGGATATGCAGTTGGATGATGATGATGATGATGATGATGATGATTTAGCTTTTCTTTGCATCATGTTGCTATGAACATAGCACCCATCCAAGGCAATGAACGCTTTTATCATTGTCTCGCCAGGCGAAGATTGGAATCCCAAAGGCGCCAAGGAATTTCAACAAATTTGTGGGTCGATGTTGACGACCCATCATATGAGGGTTTCCATAAATGGGGTACCCCAAAATGGATTGTTTATGGCTAAAGACCCAATTGAAATGGATGATTTGGGTGTCCCAGCATTTTAGGAAACCCTCAAAAATCATGCCTTCGGAATTTTTGATGCCCGAAGGCACCATTTTTTCCAAGCGCCGCTCAGATGTTTGGGTCCACATTTACCACTGCGACCCCTACACCGGCTTTCTGAACAGGCCCCTTGGCCGCATAAGGCTTCCCCAGTTCCAAGAGTCCAGAACACACCTTGGACCTTTCGTTATGTTTCCGGTTCCAATGATTGGCGAAATACTAAGGATGATATAGGATGATTATATATTATATAAAAGGATGATAGTAATAGCATATAAGAGCAATGATCATAAGACTAATAATTATATTGATAGTGGTGATAACAAGAACAATGACATGCTGAATTTTGAAAGAGTTTTGCACCGCGCCGTGTAATACACCACACAATACAGTAGAATGTGGGACCTTCAAGTGAAGATACAAGAGTGTTCAAAAAGGATGACATCCCAGCCATTGTTTCTCTGCTTTCTGTCAAAGGGGACCAGTTCGGTTGCGTTTTTGGGTCATAACTTTTTGGCCAAAAACAATTTCGGGATCACTAGTGGGTCTGCTGCGATGTTCGCCAATTCCGTTTCAGGATGTTGCTCAAAAATTCTGAGATAGGCTCGGTCCGGCCCGTCGCTGACCTTCAAACGCTTACGGCCAAGAAAATTAGCCAGTCGTTGGGTTGCTAGGGTGATGAACATTTGACATTTGGACCCTGTTCTTACAGAATAGCTTGGAGGGAAGTTTACAGGAACCCACAATTTTCTTGGGAAAACCACTGGTTTTCGGCAACAACTTGCTTAAGCCAATCACTGAGCTACTTGAGATGTCTTGAAACAACGACCCCACGCGGCAGCGACAGGCATCTATCATGCAGGAATCGAGGTCTATGGGGAGGAGCTGATGGCTTCAGTCCCAACGATGACACCAAAAACTCAATCAACTTGTGGAGTTGGGCCGATATATCGTACCACAGTAACTCCTGTGGTAACACAAATTGTGGGAACTGTGGGAACTGTGGGAAGAGCTGAATCTCCGGTGCAGCCAGGAGTGGTCCTTCCAATACTTCGAAGATACGTGGAATGATCCGTCGATCTCTGGGATCATGCGATGTTTGCCCAAGCAGATGGCAGGACTGGGCCTGAGATCAGGGAGATGATCCCAGTGAGATGGTTGTCAGACCGAGAAAATCCCGGGGATTCTGCACCACTTACCACATTGGTACGGCCACATGCCCCATCCAAAAAGCCTAGCTCGCTTATATCACAGCCCCATGATTTTATGGCCGAAATCATAGTAATTCCACAAAAATACGGTGAACTGGAATCTTAGAAAATTGAATGTATAGTATAAAACATGAGTCGTGGCAAAAAGTTCCCATATCTTTCATCCAAGCAAAATCGGCTGAAGTGACATTTCGACAGCTTATAAATTGTCATCACAAAGCAGTTCGATTTGAGGATAGACGTGGTCCCAAACTATGGACTCTCCGCTAACCATACATGGCTCTATGGGAAAACCACGAACTGGGCATTTAAAAGGCAACATCGGCAACATCATCGAATCCCAGCTAGTCATGGCAGCCACGCTTGATTCATTAACTCATAGTAATCTATTTCAACTTATATGAACTCAGATTATCTCATAAAATCACCCATATATTCATCATATGTATATATAATATATATATATATACACATGCTATATATAATATACATTATATATATAATACACACATCATATATATATATATATATCTATATATTCACCATTATTTCCACCACTATCTCAAAATCTCCATGTCACTTGTCGCCAGGCTACGAATACCAGGAGTCCTTAAACCTGGGCCCCACCCCGCTGAGTCCAGAGGAGGTGGGCCCAAAAAATGGTGATTTTTGCAATTTTTGATGGTGATTTTCAATGTTAAAAATGGGGATGTAGTGGTGATGTAAACATGAGTTAGTACTATTCATGGAAATTGGGGATTTGAGATGGAAAAAAGCCTCTGGTCATCAGTCACATGGCTCGCTGGAACACCCACCATTTAGTTCGCGGGGATTTTCCACTGTCGCATTTGATTACCACAAATTCACCAAAAAATTGGACATCAAAAGCATGTTTCCTGTTTTCATCATTAATTCCATTCAGAAACCCCAAAAATGGTGATTCAATGGGATTTTACTATTACTAGGGAAATCTATGGGATATATGATATAACTTAACCTACCAAATCCTACTTTTTTGGCAGATACTTGGATGAACGACCCCTATTGGGCGATGACCATGCGCCAATTTCAACCCATGTTTTGACGGCACAGATTTCACCAGTGGTTAATTAGTAGACTTTTCGTGAAGGCTTGGTGAATTTGTGAACATGGATGATGCTTTTGGGCAGGATGGATGGAAGAATGCTTTCATGTTTAGCTTCCTACTATCATTGATTTTGTGGTTAGCATAGATTAGCAATGTCTTTGCGGTACATCATGCTGATGGTGTTTGGTTTCCCTGTCCACCTCGAGAGCTTGGCAGATCGTAATGAAAACACTTGAAAAGGGGAAGAAGACGAGGTGAAACATAGAGTTGGGGTGTCAGTTGCAACTGGGATGGCTTGCAATTGTCTATATTGAGTCAATATCATATACCTCACTTCTTTGTAACAATTCCAGCAGTCATTTGTGGTCCCAGAATGATATGCACATGATGAGTCCGTTTGAAAGTAGGATTGCCGCAGACTTGATGGCTTCAGAACATCATTTTTCCCATCGACATTGTAAATTTGGGGTGTACCCCATTTTCAGACACCCTTAAATATCATGCTGTTGCTGAATTAGCCCCGCTATGGCTGTTTTAAGATGCAGCGAAATTGATAAAGACTCTGCGAAGTGTGTCAAATTAAGATTACCACCAACTGGTCAGAACTATCTAAGCAAAGGCTTTGGGGAAGTGTCTCATATCAAGACTATTAATATTGATGGTCGGAGCCTTAAATTCCATCCCCATTGAATGTGTAAGGACGAGTGCAACTGATGTTTTTGGTGCTCAAGACTGATGGTAGAGGTGTTTGCCCAGGTGATTCAAGGTTTGGATTTCATCCGTTGGGGTTTTCTAACTAACTGGTGGGGCCTCGGGTGTCCGAGCCATTGTGGATCTCCTTCGGCTTCTAGCCTTTTCCTCTTCCTTCTCTTGGGATATCTATCTGGATTTGTCTCCTGCTTGGCCTGCTGCTATTTTCTCCTTGGATTTTACTTCAGGTCATATCATCCCCCTCGAGGGTCTCCAGCCTCCTCTGGGCCTGAGGAGCATCTTGCCCGTCTGAGGGGCTATTTGCATGCGTGACCAAGGTGTGGAAACACTGAGTCAGCGCATTGACAGTCTCTCTGAAAGAGTTGACACCTTGGGTCGTCGTGTTGAAGATCTAGCTGAAACCCTTCAGCGCCTCACTTCCGCTCTTTCAAGCAATCCCTTGCTGGCCCCCGGGCCCTTCTCAGAAGCCGGACGTGCTGCCCCTGTCCCTTCAGAGACCGCATCGGTGTCTGGAGCTTCTCGGACTAGCCAATATAACCAGCTTGCTGAGGAGATCCCTGTTGTGCCTGATTTTTGCGTGGCACTTTGCAACAGGTTGTCAGCTGGCACTCTTTCAAGCCGCCAGCGAGCAGAGAGAGCTTGGGAAGCAGGCTATTGGGCCCGATTCGTGCTGGAGGGCAGAGTGCAGAAGCCTCGGCCGTCCGTGCTTTGTGACGTGGCCAACACAGTCTACGTGGTGTTGCGAGCGCCTGGGTATCAGTGTCCGTTGTACGTGCACTCATCAGGGATCTATCGGGCCATCGTGGGGAATTTCAAGTCAGATACTATCTCCCACGGCTTTGCATCGCAAGCTGAGGCCACTATTTACTGCACGGGAGCAGGTGTCACTTTGCCCAGTGCGCCCTATCAATGGAGCCAACAGCAGTGACTTCGCTCCAGGAGGGTTTTCAAGATCTGTATGTGTTGAACTGGCCCATAGACGTCCCTGCAGAGGATGCGAGTGCAGGGCTTTGTCATGTTATCATGAAAAGACCTGGAGGCCTGTTGCTTGGGGTTCCACCAGGGCTCATACCTCCAGAGGCTTTGCAAGGTGCTGCAGCTCAAGGAGAAGACGCTTTGCTTGGGCCGCACAAGGTCCTGGCGGTGCCCGCAGTTATTGTTGCAGAGGGAGGAGATGTGGTGCCAGACGAAGATATGGATGTTCAAGTGGTGGATGTGAGTATGGAGGTTGTGCAAAGTCTGAGGCTCTTCTCACCAGAAGCAGACGAAGAGGAGCCAATGATCACATTTGGGTTAGACAAGTCAGTTCTGCCAAATCCAGCCATTCTGCTCAGCTTTGCAAAAGAATGGATCCAGGTTACAGGCCAAGGGAAGACCGTGTTTTACTCTGCGGAAGAAGGCCCGGAGGGCCCGGAGGCCCCGTTTCCAAAGGTTGCAAAAGCAAAGCAGAAGGCAAAGGCTGGGGAAAAGGCAAAGAAACCCAGCCCTCAGCAGGTGGCGGAACAGATCCAGCACATTGCCAGCGTGCTACCAGCCATCACAGACACATTGGCATCCATACAGGAGAAGCAGAGGAGGATCAAGTACGTAGTAGAAGGTCAGTCCCTGTCCCCTCCACCAAGGCCAACTCAGGCCCCGGTGTCCATGTCTATGCAGGCCTTCGCAAACCTGATGCAGCAGCCCCCCAAGACAAGGGGCGTGGAGCACTTGCCCCATCCTCCACCTCGACCCCATCGCATGCAACTAGACTCACCTCTGGATGCGCAGGGCCAAGCAGAGGAGAACCCCCCTGTAGAGGAGAGCTCAAGTCTGGCGTTGGCAGTTCTGGAACAGAGCCGGGCCCTTACAAGCCTGGTGAGCCAGTTGTCATCAGGCGATCCACTTTTGGATGTACAATCAACAGGGGCTTCGACGTCGTCAAAAGGAGCCCAAGGCAGGGAGAGGCTGCAGAAGGAATTGGCAGATCGGAAGAGCGAGTTCTGCCTGACAGTCATGCAGAATGCCTACAGGAGGTTGAAGCCTGCCTCTCGAGCCCCGTCATCACTTCGGGAGATAGCTGCCAGCGACTTCTCAATGCTGACATATCTCGAACGTTTTGGCGGCTACGGAGGAGCAAAAGACATGGGGGTCATGCAGTATGCCCTCAGCTTCATTTTGGATTGCGCGATCAGAGAGGATCTGGTAGGAGTCCAAGAATATGCAGCTCTTCTAGCGGTGGGCCTAGAACAGGCGGCTCAGGATCAGGGGAGGTGGGACTTGGCGTTTCAGTTGATGTTGCTGGAAGACCCCCCCAGCCAGATGTGGAGCTACAGAGGGGGGGGTGTCCCACAGACGGGAAGGGCACGGGCCTTTGCGCCCTTATGCCCGCAGAGATGGGCTACGGTGGCTTTGGCGTATTCGAGAGAAATCGATTTCATACAAAACAAGCGACTGGAACTTGGGAAGAGGCCCCCGGCTCCGTCGGCGCAGGGTTCACCAGGGCCCGGGCCCAACCCGAAGCCAAAGAGGACGAAGTTCCCGAAAGCAAAAGGAGGAGGAGACGGAGGAACACAGCCAGCAGAAGATGCAGCCACCTAAGCTCCGTGTGCCCACCTCAGGGTCAGCTGTGATGTCCCTCACCGAGTTCTTCTATGTCAGAGCGTGCCATTGGCGCTGCTTACAGCGGGAGGGGACTACCAGCCGCCCCTGCTGGGCCGGAGAGTGGCGGGAATGCAGGTGTTGGGAGTGCTACATATGAAAGGTCAGGAGAGCCTTGTGAGCACCTCTACAACGGTCTTGCCGCCTCTGATCTCGACAACAACGGAGACAGAGGCGGGAATGCATGTGGGTGTCCACCTGTTCCGAGGACACTGAATTTGTATCGATGGTCAGCAGTCATGGTTAGGCAGTTGCTGGCATCACGCACGAGGTTTTCATACTTTGTGCTCAAGTGCATCCTTTGCAGTAAGGGGCCTCGAGATGAGACCCAAGCCGCTCTGTTTCCATTGCCCCTTCCTCTTGGAGATGTTTGCGACAGTGGCCTGAGAAAGCTGGGTGCCACACGTCGCGCCCGTTTAGCTGTGAGGAGGGCTTTGTTTCTGGCTGTTGCAGCTTTGAATTACCTGCACTTCAAGAACCCCTTTTCTCAGTTGATGCTGATTCAGAGGTGTCCAGGTCCCCAGCATGAGCAAGTTTATGCTAGGTTGATCGCACTCATCAGAGCGAGTGGCCCTGCCAGACAGTTTGACCTTTTGGCTTGTGGTCGCAAATCCCACCAATTAGATGCAAGACTGAACGAACTTCATCGGGCTTTGCAACGTCTTGGCTTGAGTCATAGTTCTTTCTACACGAAGGAGCATGAGGCACAACGTGTCGAGATGCAGAATGAGAAGGACGAACTGCGTCCTTACAGGAAATTGGATGCAGAACGTTTGAAGTTGACAGGTGAGGCAAATTGGGATTGCAGACCCTACCTCTCTGATCTCCTCTATATGTGCTTTGTGGAGCCAAAGTCAAATCAGTTTGAAGTTTGTCCCCCCAGTGCTGTACTCCCTGACCTCTCTCGAGTTGATGAGCAGGAGGTATTGAAGCTGTGCAAAGTTTGGGATGCTCGTGGCCTTTTGAAGATTTTTCCCCGGAGTGAGGGCCCTCAGCATGCGTGGATGTTTGCGAAGGTCTTCAACAACTATAAGTCACCAAGCACAGACAGGCAGATTGGTGACAGGCGTGGTGCTAATTTTGCAGAAGGGAAAATTTCAGGTGGGCCGTCAAAGAGCCTGCCAACAGCAGCTTCAATGCTTCAGATAGGGGTGCAGAGATACAAAGAGGCTTTGGTAGGATCAGTTGCAGACAGGCGCGATTTCTATCATCAGTTTTTCACAACAGATGAGCGTTGCGTGTCCAATGCGGTTTTTCCTCCAATGCGTGCAGAGAAGCTGAGGGGCACAAAGGCTTTTGAGGAGTATGAAGCAGTTTGGGGTTTTGCAACAACCAAGAAAAGGCGGAGAAGCATGAGAGAGCTTGCTGGTGATTTTTTGCATGGAAGTCAGAAATCAGTTTTGGTAGGTGATGATGAGGAGATTTGCTGTTGTTTTGCTGCCCTGTTTCAGGGAGACCACCTTGGAGTAGAGTATGCAACAGACGCTCATGCAAACCTGCTTATCTCCCATGGGTTGATCCTGCAGGAGTGTAGGTTACAGTCTGACAGACCTCTGGTCTCTGACGAGCTTGTCTCCGGTTTGGTCATTGACGACTTCTTCGTCATTTCAAAAGAGCCTGCAGAGAGATCTGAAGTTTACGAGAACTCACGCTCCCACAAGCAGTTTCTGAAGGCCAAAGAGGTCTATGCAAAAGAGCGCATTTTTGGGTCTGATGACAAGGATGTCATTGCAGCCTCTACCTTCAAGGCATGTGGTGGAGAAGTGGTTTCCACTTATGAAGCCGTCAGGAGTGGCGTTGTCTCTCTTGCTGCCCCTTTTGAGAAGCGTGTAGCGTTGAGTGCCATTTCAATGACAGCGGCTTCTTGGAAGTACACAACAGATGCACTACATGCGTGTTTGGTAGGATCTTGGGTCTCTGTGACACTTCTCAGAAGGCAAGCTATGTCGGTCATGAATGAGGTTTTCAAGGTCATCCCCCCAGCAGATTTGTCGCCTGAGGACCCTCGCCTTAGATTCCTTCCAAGGTCTGCCGCTGAGGAGTTGCAACTGCTGGCCTCCCTTGCATTAGTTTTGTCCTCCAACCTTGCTGTTCCTTTTGACGAGGAGATTTATGCCACTGATGCGTCAAATGAGAGAGGGGGCATTTGCTCTGCAAGGGTATCGGCCGAAGCTTCGGCAGTTTTGTGGAGGACAGCTGAGAGGAGAAGGGAGCCGGTGCCAATGCAGTCTCAGGCACAGGTCATCTTATCCAGCTATGATAGCATGTTTGAATCTTTGCCTCAGATGAAAAGCAGTTTGGACGGTATAGATGAGCTGTGTGGCCTCTCCGAAGATGAGGGGGAAGGTGGTCTTGGTTTTTCAGGAGAAAAGCATTTTTGTCAGCGACCCATAGGGATGCGTTTCCAGTTTATTGAGCTTTGTGGAGGGGCTGGAGGAGTGACTAGAGAGTTTATTAGGCGTGGCATAGCTTGTGGCCCAGTTTTGGACTTGTCTTTGAGCCAGCAGTTCAACTTGGCAGAGCATCGTGTCATCCAATGGCTTTGCTTCATGATGGAAGACGACAGACTTGACAGTTTCCTGGTGTCCCCACCTTGCACAACCTTCAGTCCTGCAGCCCATCCTTGCGTGAGGAGCTATAAACAGCCGAGAGGTTTTGACCAGAGGCTTTGGAAGGTCTGGATTGGGAATCTTCTTGCTTTTGCAGCCCTTACATGTCTGCTTGTTGCTCTGCGGCTTGAGAAGTTTGGTCTAGGAGAGCAGCCAAGGCGAAGCAAGATGAGGTGGCTTGAAGAATGGAGAAGGCTCCTCATGCTAGGTGCCAGAGAAGTCTTCCTTGCAAGTTGCATGTATGGGTCCCCGCACCAGGAGGAGTTTTGTTTTGTTGGCGCAAACATGCACGTAGAGCTCCTCCACAGGGCGTGCTCCCGAGACCATCAGCACGTTAGAATACAAGGCCAGTACACAAAGCCATCAGCAGTTTACTGTGATGGGCTGGTCCTCGCCATTGCCACTCTTTTTGAAGACCATTTGAGGGCAAGGCAAGCTGCAGTCGAAAGGCTCACGGCCTCGAGGATGTGCTGACAAATGACTTTGCTCTGAGTTCCGATTGGAGAACTCTTTCTTCGTGGCGCTGGTCAGGAAGATCCCATATCAATGTGCTGGAAGCGGCGGCATGTCTGAAGCTTTTGAGAGATTTGGCAAAAAGAGGAGGTGATCTAAAAGTTGCAGTGCTTCTGGACTCCCATGTTGCCCTTTCCTGCTTTGTCCGGGGTAGATCCTCTGCCAAGTCCCTCCAGCACCTCCTAAAAAAGGCTGCCTCCCTGTGCCTTGCTTGTGGAATCTACCCAGCCTTTCGCTACGTTCCCACACGCCTCAATCCTGCTGATGCCCCATCGAGAGATCTGCCTTTGCCTGATCCAGTTGATGCCTCCCTTGCGCGTGAAGTGAGTAGTTTTGTGGCACATGGGCTCGCTTCAGTCTCGGGCCTGAGAAGATGGGCGGCAAACTGGGCCAGACTCGTGTTGCTCCTCCAACCGTCAATTGCCTTGTTTTTGGGGCATGCCGATGTCAGGAAGAATCCAAAGCTTCCAATCAGCCTGCATGAATGGACTCTGGACTTTGATTCCACTCTTGGTTTCCCGGGGGAGGGTCCACTTTGGCTTTCTTGGATTTTTTGGACTTTTGGATTTTCCCTAGCCCTTGGTCCTTGCCAGTTAGTCTTAGGCGTAGGAGTGAGCCATGGTGATGACGTGCGCAAGCTTCGACGAGCTGGGATTGTGCTGGAAGAAGGGAGAAGGGTCACAGAGACCACAGCGAATGTGCGCGAGGTGCTTTTTGGCAATTTCTGCGAGTGGCTCACTGAGAGAGATTTAGTTTTTGAGCACATTTTCATGCCACCAAACCCTGACCTAGATTGTGTGAACAAAATCTTGGTGCAGTATGGGAAATGGCTTTTTGCTCAAGGGAAGCCTTATTATCATGTCAGTGAATGCATCAACCTTGTCACCAGCAGAAGACCTTTGTTGCACCGTTCGCTGCAGCAAGCCTGGGATCTCTGTTTTCTTTCGGGTTCCTATGAGCCTGTTGAACACCATATAGCAATGCCGCACCAAATCCTGGTCTCCCTCATAGCTGCCGCTTTGTGGTGGGGCTGGGTTCGTGAAGCTGCAGTCTTTGCACTTGCATGGGGTGCTTTACTGCGTATAGGTGAGGTTTACCAGGCTACTCGAGCTGACCTTATTCTTCCTGGCGATGTGGATGGAACAAACAATTATGCGCTTCTGCGCATAAAGGAGCCGAAGACGAGATTTAGGGCAGCTCGTCATCAAGCAGGGCGCCTTGAGCATGCTGATCTATTAGAAGTTGTTCGGATTGGTTTTGAGCGTTTACTGCCTCATGAAAAACTATGGCCCTGGTCAGGAGCAACTCTGAGGTCTCACTTCACAAAGCTTTTGTTGCAGCTAGGCCTACCAACTGAGCTCCACCAGTGCCCAAAACCTTTGACACTTGCAAGCTTTCGTCCCGGAGGTGCAAGCTACATGATTTCGATCTGCGACAACGCTGAAGCAGTTCGTAGAAGGGGTAGATGGGCTAGCTTCAAGGTCATGGAAGTCTACCTTCAAGAGGTTGGAGCATCTACCTACATGAACATGATCAGTGACAAAAGCAAATCGAATGTGCTCAACGGTTTGAAGGTTTTTCCGACGCTCCTTCAAAGAATTCATGGCTTTTTTGAATGCAGAATCCCGGCAAACACCTGGTTTTTTCTGCTACGCAAGGCAGCAGGAGACGACTTGAAAGTTTAAAAGTGGGAAGGTGGGTGATTGTAAAGAAGACCAGTTAAATCCCCAGTGCAGCCAACCACACAAACGTTCCAGAGCTGCAAGGATGTTGGAAAAAACTGGAAGCTGCTTGAGCCCTTGATTAGTCCTGTACCCAAGATTCAATGAAAACACGTGATTTTTTTAATGATATTTCCATTTATGGTAAAACTCCCAATTTGTTGCTGATTAAATCTTACCATAAATCTAACCTTTTTACAGGTTCAATTGGCCGCCCTTGAACTCCTCGGGGAGTTGTGTAAAGCCAGCAGGTTGATGATCTGCTTACTGAGCTCAGCGAGGAATATGCTGCCAGCACGTGCGACGGCAGTTGGATGGTAGGTTGCTTTTTTGGTGTGTCTGAAAATGGGGTAATGGGACCCAACAACTAGTAAACCTATCATTTGGGGATGGTAAAAGCACAGCTCATTTATTGTGATTTTGGGGATGCTTCATGAAATTGGGTTTGCCACATTATCTCCAAAGAACTACTTTCAACGGGGAATATGATGGAATATGACTATCACCATTTTTTGATTTTGGACCATGTTTTCTGGCAAACCCAGGTGGCGATTGCGAACCATTGGCTGGGGATATGAACCAACAAAACTGGGAATATGAGCCAACCAAATCTGTTAACCAACTCCGCTTACTACCTCCAAGAGTAAAATGGCAGTTGTTGCTTTAGGATCTGAAACGACATGAAACGACCGATTGTCTTGGGCCAGTCATTTTGGCGCAATACTCATCAATATTTCTTGTCAAAGGGGTGGAGAGGGTGTGTGCGTAAGCCTTGGAAGTCTTCGAAGTCTTGGAAGTGAGGGCCCCAAGTGTTTTATAGGTGAAACTTTGTGTCGGACTTTGCATCGCAATGCAGCTGTGGCAGGTATCATCTCACGCACCGAAACTGCCTCACCTTTGCACAGCATTTGGCCACCAGCCCGGGCAACCAAGAAAAGCTACAGGAGGCCCTAAAGATTTTGATTTGAGGAATCTTCTGATCCAATGAAACCAGGGTTTCAGGCTGGGAAAATTTGGAAATCCGTTGGATCCCTGGAGCTGAGGCTTGAAGGTTCCGAAGGAATTTCCTCCTTGGATCCTCGGGATCTTGGCCGTTGGCACACCCAGTGGCTACGGGTTGTGTGGACGTGCCCGGCTGCTGGGCTGTCCGAAGGGGATGTGGAACATCTTCACCTATTGCCAGGGATAGATTCGGATAAATGCTCAATGTTACGGTCAATTTGGATCCACAGCAAAAATGTGAGAAACCACGGATCTATTGGTTGACATCCTTCTTGTTGTTGCAAACCTATCCACATTTTGCAGTCGCAATATTCGATAGTTTAAAGATGTTTGAAGAAAGATAGTCGACTCCGCCTATTTGCATTCGACTTCTGTTGGGATACCTCGTCTCGCCATCCATTCGATCTACTTGGACTGCAGCGTTCTTTTGCTTGGGATTGCGGCACAAATTGTCTTCTGAGGTCGGCTCAGATCGCCAATTCATCTCCCACAAGCCAACGTTTCGACTCGTTTCTTCAGATTCCTTCTGAAATTGGGACACGTTACGTATATAGTTCACCCAATTCTTTCCACCTTTCATAGCAGGAAAATCTCACACCGCCCTAGGCCAGTACCAAAGTGGGCGCTCTGGACGCCACGGTGGACTACTTCTGGGGCTGGGCCAAGTGGTACATGATCCGAAAGCATGAGCCGGCAGAGGAGCCGACAGGTCTTGGGTGATCCTTAATGTGTTTCGACCACTGGTAACCCATTTCATCAATTGGTTTAGCATCAGTTTTCCCCATCAAAATGGGGGCTATACTGGCTATACTGGTATGATATGTGTGTGTGTATTATATATATATGATTATATGATATTATGCCCTCTTGCTCAGACAACCCCACTTGAGCTGATTTCAGGAGCCTTTACCCGAAGACCCCACTGAACAGGCGCGGAAAACATGTCATGGCTTATCTCAAAAACGGTGATATTTTGAGGATGTTGGAAAATCTCTTCCAGGCCAATTCGGCCAATTCCTGGACCTTCTTTGGGTGCGCTGGCCCAGTCTTGACGCTGCGACTCAACCACGGCCGTTTTTGGGGAGGTAGTGTTGATCCCCCCAGATCTCCAGGATGAATCCCAGCTGTTCTCCCTCGGTGTGTCCTGGTCCAGTCACTTGGCTCAAGCGCCAAATATTGGGATTGGATGATTTTGGATGTTACTTTTCCGCGTCTTTTTGGGGTTACTAAAAATATGATTCCCATTATCCCCTAAACACTTGGAACACCTTGGAACTTAGAACCTCGAGAAAGGGGAATATCTCATTGTGAAATCAGCTGAGAAACATGCGTTTTTCATGTTTAGTATCTGGTTTAGGGATGTTTCATATCTGGGTTTATGGGTGTAGAATATGCCGACCCATAGCCGAATGCATAGATGGAAGAGGGACACTTGGAAATACGAGATATCCTTGGTATGCTACTACATCCCGGCCCTTTGTGGCATATTTTGTTGGGGAAACCGACTTGTGTCCCAGCAGAAGTTCTAGACACCAACACCCACCCAGGAATCAACCGCTTTGCCCTTAGGTTTGCACCCGGAGTTGATGTAGTTGTTCTGGGTATTCGAGCCCATTGAGACCAGCAAGCAGTATTTTACACCCTTTCCTCTGAAATCTGTGGAACATCTACCAATTTGCACAAACTCACTGTTTCTAGTTGGTGTGTTTGCAGCCCCAGTTGTCCGGTCAAAACCCTACCTATCAGTGGATAGAAGCTTAAGTAGACCCTCTGATAAAGGGCCATGGCAATAAATCATCCTCCATTTGTGGATGATTTACAACATTCAAATGGAGATTTCACATGTACCAGAGGGTAAATTTTGGTACTCAAACAGGGCAATTTGCCAACTTTTCGAAGGGAAAATGCAGGTTTTTCCAGTTCGGATTTAGCAAACCACCAACCAACCTGCAGCCTCAGCTTGGTTTCCCACATCCTGAGGCGAAGGGGTCAGAACCTGCCTGGAGCCCAGTATTTTTTCCGCCATAGTTGGTCTCTCAAGGCTTCCGAATTCGGATGCTTGGGATGATGGCACCTTGATGTTTTTGGTTGGGCATTAAGTAATGTTCCTGCATAGAAGCTTGCGCTAGGGCGAGGAACTATGGTCAGGTTCCGGGGAATCAACAGGTGTCGGTGCCAGTGAATCTTTGATAGATTTTGATAGGCTATTTCCAAAACTGTTGCTACCCTTCTCCCAGCCCTTGTCGACAGAACCGATGGTGAAATCGGATGGGTTTGACAGGCGCCCCCAAATTTGATGAACATCGTCACCCATAGGTCAAAATTCAGGGTGACCCACAGCCGAAGCATCGGAAATCCTGGGACCCCCCTGATGTCCTCCGAGGAAGCGTCGTCTGGACCGCCGATGCCTGTGCAAACCTTGCTGTCGGAAGAGCTCGGAGCCAAGCTTCGGGCGTCTATAGAAATTCACCAAAAAAGATAGTGACAAACATATATAATTTATCACAGTTTAACTTTTCAATTTTTTTTGGGGTTACTAATTATACATATATGATATGTGTATGTATACATATACATATTATTTATATATATATATTAATTGGTATATGGAAAATCTATAACCTACCGGGTTCTAAAAAAGCAGTCATCTAGCGTTTCTGCGCAATGGTTCCAACTTCTCCCCTGTACCCCCAACTTCAAACTTGCAATCCAAACTTGCTGTAGGCCTTCAAAAAAACGAGTAATTTTCGTTGGCAGTTCCAATTCACACAGCTCAACATTGATGCCAGGGGGCTGGGGGACTTTGAGCATAACTTGTGACACTGTGTCGGATGGCTGTTTTTTTTTTTTTTAAGAACCCGGTATGAAACCATTTCGGAGACTGGTACCCTCAGAAGAAGCAGGCGTGTTGGGACTATTCATGATAGGTGATACTACCCAATATTTGACGGGCTATCACCCAGGCTGTCAGACCGGCCCTTCTGAAAAGCCTGCGGAGACACAACACGGTGGCCTGTGCCGTGTTAAGTGGATGACATGTTCGAGCTCTGCAACAATGGTTCCCTTTATTTCATTTGGAACTAGTGGCACAAGCTTGGGAATATAGAAAAGAATGCTTTTGGAGATCATCTTTCCTTTTGTGGCCACTCCTTCTGACGTTTCACAGCTCTCAGATGCTTCGACATCAACAATAAAACGCCACCGTGATGGCCATTAAAAATCATCTTCTGCAGCCGTCTGTGAATCCTGGTCATGTTTTAAGTCCAGGAAGGTGTTCAAGCATCTTTTGCACAAGCACCCTACCATTTTCGTAGCCCGGTGCTCATCTCAAGTTCAACAGCTTTTGCAATTCAAAGCCTTTGTACAGGATCTCTTGCAGAGTCCCCTTGGGGTCCCAAACTTGGACACTTCCCCGTGGTTACGAACATCACCAAAACCATCCTGGCAGCAATCGTGGTCACCAGGGCACCACCAAAGATACTCTGATGGGAGATCCTCCAAGTACACCAATGCGGCAGCCGAGTTGATGTGTCGGAGCTAAAACGTGTGCGTGGTGGGAGGGTTTTGGTGGAGACCGTATCAGAAGTGGTCACTGTTTCTCTCTTTCTCTCTCTCCCTCTCCCTCGCTCCCTCGCTCCCTCGCTCCCTCGCTCCCTCCCTCCCTCCCTCCCTTTTTGCAAGCAGCACATGGGTACATCTTGCTTGTTCCAAAAATGTTGTACACCCCGATTTCTTGGCCGTTTTCATGCGTAAAACATGATTGGCTAAAGCCATGGGATGGAATGGGTTAGCTCAGTTGGATCAACACTTCTTTTCTTCAAAAAAGGGATGAGGATCGTGACAAATTAATGTAAAGCCTCAAATAAATTCCTGGGCTGTTTTAATTGGGGTGCCATTTTAATACATAGCAATTTTCACTTTTTTTGCACTACCATAATTAATCAACCAGGGTTTACGGAGGTAGACATTATCCCCATGCTGGTTTAATCCTTCTATTGACCACATTAATAGTTTGTGAATATCTCCATACGCCCGCATGATTGCAAACACCACTCCATGAAATTGCTGGTTCATTCCCATCTTGTCTGCATTTGATTAGGGTTGGTTCATCCCCCTAAATCTGGTAGAAATCTAAGTCTTGATCCAACATCTATGTCTCTATCCCAGTTTTTTCTGAAAAGTTCTTTGATATGTCCAGGCAGCAGGTCGCCGCACTGTCAGCTGCCAGGGCTCAAAGTTCGCCATGGCGTTGCAAGGTCTGGTTCTTTTAGGCAGCTCCCAGCTGCCATTGTTCCCCCGGCCTCGAAGATCGCCGCAGAAATGGCTGCCGCACGGGAGTTGGGCGGCCGCAAGTCTGGTGGCGTCTGTGATGAGGCCGGGTTTTGGGGGAGACTTTTGAGGTCCAAGAGGATGAACCATTGGGATTTGGCCAAAAGTATGATGAACAGTTTTCTTCTTCTTTTTCTGGGATTTCCATCATGGAAGTTTGATGATCAAAAGTGGAGATAAACCATGATGGAGATGTAATGATCAAAAGTGAGGGTCTTTTGGTGGTGATATCCTCGGGTAATTGAGCATGACTGGCTGGAATACCAGAATTTAAAGGGGAAAACATCTATAGCGGGAAGAAACAAATTTATGATATTGACTATATTATAAAGGATGCACAAACTATTCTGGTTTGGTCGGGTTCCAGATCCAACTTTGCTTGGAGGAGTGCGCATCCTGAGAGGATGTAAAAAGATATCAGTAAAGTTGAACCGCTTTGGAAAGAAGTTGATCAGAAAAGCTAAGGTGGCCTGAATTCTTATATGTATATATATATACATATTATGGAGCTATGGCAAAGAATTGTTGCTTGGCATAATCTGGATCTTGCTGGCTGGGATAAGGCTTGCAACCCATCCAGTACATTCATACTACAGGTTGCAGGTCGGGCATGGCGTCTGTATGTATCCGGCAAATTATGGTCCCAAAAATGATATATCAGCGAATGACCCCTTCAACATGCCCGATTTTACCCCGATGTTTTCCTTACGAGAGTCAAAAAGTCTTCAACAGTCATGGATGTGGTTTTGTCCAAGAATTGGAAAACCACAAATTCAGTGGCTGAGAACATCATCTCCGATTAAGATAGTAACATTTTGAAGATGAATCCCCTATTTCTGGACAAATGTGCTTGGAGGACCATCCCACTTAGTAGTTAGTAGCTGTAGCACTTGTAAAATCCTGTACCAATTGATCTAACCCCTCCATAGTATATCCATAGATGGGTTACTCAGTGTCACTCCACGAACCGGGGACTTCCTTGGCGTAACCACCAGGGTCCGGCCGGTGAGTACTCGGCATGCCCTGCGCCGGGCAGAGTCTGGAGAGAAATCAGTGAGTCGTCGACAGGAGGCACTGAAATTGGGGCTTTTTTCAACCAAAAAATTGGGTCTTTTAAGAACCATTCAGGATGGTTTTTGATAGTGAAGGGTAGTGTCAGCCAAACAAAACAACCACCAAACATGTCGTTTTTTGTTACCAATGAATTAGAAGACAGAGCTGAGTTGGTGCTATGCTACCCAGTCACTCTAAAGAAATGATGATTGCATATTTGAAACATAAATGCCCAATTGAGGTAATATATATATATATATATACATAATGATTATAATTGGGGGGCATCCATTACTAATTCCATTCCAAAATTGCTGCATCGGCGAGGTAGTGATGACCCTGGGGACCCTGGCCCTGCCACGGCCAGCGGCGGCGGTTAGTCCAACGCTGGGCTTGGGCACCTGTTGTTTGAAGGGTGAAGCGAGTGAAGAGCAGGCCCCAGTCTGTCGCTGTCGTTTGCCATGCGACTAACCCAACAAAGAGTTTGATCAGACCGAACAGTAGACCTCTGAGAATCGCCTGTGCCAATTTCGGACAGAATTATCTTCCACGTTGCGCAGCTTCGGCATGTTAGTTAATTGGCGGGATGGTATGGTTTGTTCCATTGCGTTAAAAACATTCAACGTTTTCAAAGTGTGGTGAACATAGGGGGGTTGTACCTGCTTCCAGGTCTATCGAGGTTTGAAGATCGGTTACCGCTTCATCGATACCGTGCCTTGGGCTGTGATGTCAGGTGCGGACAGCTTACACGTTGGGTCGGACTTTGATCATGTGAGGAGTTACGCATAAAAAAGTGGGAGAATCTGCGAAAAACAACCTTAGAGATGGTTGGAAATTCCAAGAAACACTGGAATTTGATGGTGGTGATCCTCTTGTTCTTTGCAATTGGTCTTGTCAAAACGTCTGACATTCAGGCCAGCCACTATGAAAACGAATCGAGTGTGGCGGCGGCCGTGCGACGCAGTGGGCTGCCGAGGGAGCAGCTGTTTCTGGTGACGAAGATTTGGTTTGATGACATGGGAGAACGGACTAGCGAAGCCCTCCAGGAGTCACTGCTCCTTGGCGGTTATGGAGGGTATCTGTCGTTAGAGGGGGCAATGTAGACCAACTGTCTATAGATTGGGATGTTGATAGGATGATACATGGGCAGTTGGTGTAAACAGATGTTGATAGAATAGTTGGATGTTGATAGAATGATATAGAGTAGTTGGATGTTGATAGAATGATCACAATGATACATTGTAGATTGTCCAAACACATAAAACCAACGACTTTGGTGTTTCTGAAAAACCCAGGGGGACCCCAAGAAACCTGGGACATTTGGGATGGTTGAAAATCCAGTGGCAAGCTCGAGAAAAGAGGGTATCTCCAGCAAAATAGCTATTTTCGGATCATGATTCAGATTCACCAGATGGAATTCAAGATCATTTCCCATCCATTTTCAGAGAAAGCTGCCAAAAAACGGGCCGCCACAAGGAAGCGTTTGGAGACGGACTATGTGGATTTGCTGTTGATTCATTTCCCCGGCACCAACGATGCCATCCAGAGCCCCGGCCGGAATCGCTTGCAGAGGGAGGAGACCTGGAGGCAGCTGGAGGCAGCCAAGGCCAACGGCCAGGCGTGGCGTGGAAAAAACGTTTTTACAACATGTAAAGACACGTTGAAATATCGTTAAACAATATCTTGATACTCATACACATACATGTAGATATAGTATAGCTATAGATAATAGATATGAATATATATATAGATATGGATATAGACAGATACAGATATAGATATAGACTTGATATAGATATAGACATAGATATACACAAACTCGATTCCAGATATACAGATATCTATAAATTATACACATCAATATGACCAAAATTGATGTGGTTTCGAATTGCGCCAGCGCCTTGGCGCCTTGCCAGGCGCGGAGCATTGGAGTGGCCAACTTCACCCGCAGGCACCTCAAAGAGATCTTGTCGTCCTGCAAGGACCCTCCCGAAGTCATACAGACGGAGGACCGGTTCCGGCACCGGTTCCGGCACCGGTTCCGGTTGGGACAAACAAATAACACCTGGCAGCCAGGAGTCTTGAGGGTTATGGGACTTTTTCACACATTGTGGTTTCCTGTTGGATTTCAATGTTACCCTCTGGTAAACTAACATAGCTATTGAAAATGACCATTTATAGTGAGTTTTCCCATTAAAAATGGTGATTTTCCATAGTTATGTTAGTTTACCAGAGGGTATATCAGGTGTGGGGACTAAGTAGCCTCATCGCGACTCTTGGCGTTTGAGGTGTCCAGATCCATCCTAAACTTAGGCCCACAAATCCAACATGCAGGATTCAACTCCACATGCTGAAACATATTCATGTAAGGAAGACACGGACATCCCAAAGCCATCCTTTTGACTCTACCTTTTTTTTTTTGGTGGCTCCAAACTCAGCAGTTCAAGCCGAATCTTTTTTCGGCAGGTTCACCCCTACTTCCAGCAACCGGAACTACTGGAGTTCTGCCGGCAAAAGAACTTGCAAGTTCATGCGTTTTCGCCCCTGGCACACGGAGAATTGGGACTCCTGGAAGACCGTTTGCTGACTCTGGGCTATGCCAGCTATGCCAGATGGGGTGTCCAACAGAATGGCTTAAGAAAAAAATTAAACCACAATTACATACAATTACTTCTTCCGAACATGGGAGTTAAATAGATGACGCAAGATTTTTCATACCCAAGCCCAGATCGCGTTAAAAAAAGTATGGTCAAGCAACGTGTCCAGCTGTGTCCAGCTGTGTCCAGCTGTGTCCGTGTCTGGGTCGATGATCCGATCGGGTCAAAAAAACCCATATTATAACGCTATGGGACCCCAGAGATCATGATAGCACATGGATGCACATGGTATATCGACATGACAATCACTCCAGGGCCGGTAGGGGTTTACCAGTGTTGGAAGTCCTTGGTCATCCAGAAACGCCTGGATCAAAAAGGACGGAGATTGCGCTGAAGCACCAACGCAGCGTGCCTCAAGTGGTGCTGCGGTGGCTGCTGCAACAAGGAATTACGCCCATTGCGTTCACTCAGTCGCAGTCCCAGGGATATCAGTGTATCAGATGTACCATCTGGTTATTTAACATAGCCATGGAAAATCACCATTTCTAATAGGTAAACCATCTATAAATGGGCCATTTTCCATGGCTATGTTAAATAACCAGAGGGTATCAGTTTATGATCATGCTTGGAGAGGGTGCCTGCAAGCGCTGTGTTTGTGAAGTGCTTGATGCATGTGTTTGGATTGCCAAGGTCTCCCAAGAACATGCAAGAGAATTGGGCTGCTGTTCAAGAAGACTGGCAACTCTCTGAACGAGAATTGGATCGGATAAGTTTACTCGATCGTGGAGCAAGGGTTGGATTTGATCCAAATCTCATTGCTTGAAAAAAATGACAAATGATCTGAAGTCCCTGACTCCAGTGGCCGCTTCCAAACTTTGCCAGTGGTGAAGGCAACCAGCCTGGTGAACATCTGTGACAAGGGCCTGACCGCCAAGTCGGTGGCTACCTGTAGCGCTGGGACTCACAGCGGCACTCACGACCTGCCAAAGAACTGGACTTTGCTTGGTTCTGTTGATGCCAGCGGCTGCCAGCGCATCATTTTGCTACACAACTGCACTGCGATATCCAGACACCCAAAGTGTGTGACGCATCACCCCTCCAGTTGATCATGCAGCTGCAAGCATCGTCTTTGGCAGCTCGCTCGAAAAAAACGCACAGCCACAGAACCGTCACAGCCTGGATGAAATGGAGATGACATGGATACGAAATGGTTGAAGAACATGCTTTGATGTGCGATCTGGTGAAGTGTCATCGATGTCATCAAATTTATTGATTCTTTTCGTCAAGGTTGGCAGATGTTGGCATCGGATGTGAACAGTGGCAGCTACGCAGTCTTCATTTCTTTGCGTCAATTCAGCCTTGTGTGCATCACCTTTGGAACTTGTGTTTCCATTTTCCATATATTTATATACATTATATCCATATATATTTATATCATCATATATTTATATATCCTTATATACATTATATACATGATATCCATATATTTATATCCATTGGTATTCCGTGAATGTTACAATTTCAGTGTCACGGCTTGCTGGGCTCAAGGGCAAGCAGCAAAACTCCCAGCCAGCGAAGTAGATTTCTTTGACCATGGCACCAAAGGTCCATCAACCTGGCGACGACTTGTTCAGAAATGCAACTGACGAATTGTGATGTGCGTCACTTCGAAAAGAACCCACGGAGTTTCTTTTTTTTTGTGAGAGGTTTGTGATTCATCATAGTCGAGCCGTAAAAACCGACTGACCCTGGCTGACCCTGTAATTTTCTCCGAACTTGGCGCGCCTTGGAAATGCCGAGGCAAGGCAACAGGTGGAAGCTGTCTCATTGGGGCGGAAACCTTAGAGCATCCAGGGCATCCAGGGTCCAGGCGGTTCCATCGCTCCACCGGACCTTGGTTGATTTTTACCGAGGCCACAAGTCCGGGAGGGTGAGATCGTTTTCGGTCCCTTGGCGCGTCCTTTGAAGGACAAGGCATCTCAAAGATTGGACGTGGAAGACAACCAATTCCTCCAAGAATTGGTGATTCCAGCGGGAAGATTGTACATTCAAGATTTCCATGGGGGTTTTGATTCTAGATTTCCAATAATATCTAAACCCCCATATATTTCCCAGTGAAGATTCGATTTTCTCCAATCCAGTCCGACTGGTTCCGAGGTGTTGCCCACATCTATGCCTCCTTCAATGACACCTTCGTCCATGTGCCGTGGCGAAATGACCAAAAATTCACCAAATCATGGCCAGTCAAAAGGACGGGAAATCAGGGAAGAGGTTTGAGGTAATCTAACATCGTCATGGAAAGTGGCCATGTTTCATGTTGGTAAAGTATGTGGAAATGGGTGTCATTATTTTCCATGACTATCTTACCAGAGAATGTACCCCATGTCTGGACATACAGCGTGGTGTCCCCCAGTTATAAGGTGGTTTACAAACATAGATGTTTATAGATTGCTATAGATACTATACCTCAATAAACCAACTTAGTTACCTATAGATTAGCTATTACTAGCTGGAGATTGCTATAGCTCCCATAACTTAGGCCAGCTATAAACCAAGGTTAGTTCCCCCACAGGTTTCTCACGATGATGTTGACCAAACGCCACATTTTTGAGGTCACCGACCTGTCTGGCAGGGAGACCATCATGCGTGTGACCGGCGGCATGAAGGCCATCGTGAAGATCGAAGATGAGAAATTCAAAAGAAGCATTGGCCAAAATGAGGATATCTTTGAACATCTTTGAACACTTCCATTCTATCTAATATCCAGAGTTCTTTATATTATATATATATATTGTTTTATATATACATATATAATACATATATATATATAATGCATATATATATATATATATGTGATTTCAATCATTTGCCACATGGTCCTTCCAGAATCAATCCGGGTTTCAGCCAACATCCGTTCATACATGGCTGCCAAGGGTTTTCACACATCAACCGATGTGATCTTTCGCCGTGCCATAGGGCCCGAGGGGGTTGTACCTACTGGGTGCAGTCCAAGGAAAAAGGGGTTGTGCTTTCCCCGCGGCCGGGGTGCGTGTGAGCCATAGGAGTGGCCTCATTGGGAACATCTATCAGTTTGAGGTTGAGGCAACCATCATAAGAGATCTACATTGGGTATCTGTTCAGGTGGACAACAGTATCAACATCTATCCTTTTGGGATCCTGCTTGCGAGAACCTTGGCCCCTGCCTTTGTGGATATTCCGCATTGGTAGCGGAGCCACGTGCTCCTCAGGAACCTTTGACCTGCGGCCAGGTCATTTTGTGTTTTCAGTGGAGAGTGCTTGACGTGCTCGCTTCAGAGATTTTCTTTTCTGTGCTTCCTGGAAAGGAGTTGATCCAAGGGAATTTAGACATTTTTTGTGTCTGACCATGTCCGAGACATCTGGCCAGGGGCCAACATCCGGACAGGGGCCAACCACCGGATCGGCATCACACCTTCCATGGCACTTGATACCAAGTTTTGAGCCAGGCGAGACAGAACTCGCCGAGTACACGAAACGATTGGAATTTCTTGCAGGCATTTGGCCTGCTGAGTTTCTGAATCAACTTGCACCGAGAGCAGCACTGCAATGCAAGGGTTCAGCTTTCCAAAAGGTAGTACGAATTCCCACCGAAAAGTTGAAGGTCAATGATCTAACTGGTGTTCAATTGCTGGTAACCACTCTTGGTGGTGTTTGGGGCAAAACCACGTTAGAGGACAAGTATGAGAAGTTTGAGAGAGCAATTTATGGAGTTTCTCAGCGCAGTGATGAGAGCAATGAGTCCTATGTTGCTCGCCATGAAATCTTGTTCGAAGACGTTGTGGCCCAGGGTGCAAGCTTGTCCGATATGAGAGCCTACATCCTTCTTCGCAATTCAGCACTGTGCCCAGAGGACAAAAAGCGTGTTGTGATCGAGGCCAAAGGCAATCTGAAGTATGAGACAGTCATCCAGGCCATTCGCATGTTGGGTGCCAAGTTCTTTCATGAGGTTCAAGGTCAACAGAAGTCCTATCGAAGCAAAACGTATGATGTGAATCATGTACAGGAGACTGAGGAGGAAGCCTTTATCAGTGAGGACCATGTCTATCTGACTGAGTCCAACGAACTGCCCGAGTCCGTAGTGGAACAATTTCTGAATGAAGGGGACGAAGATGCCTTGGTAGTTCAGCAGTTCGAAGACGCTCTGATTGACACTGTGCAGAATGACACTGAGATGACGGCATACATGAATGCATACGTTGAAGCCCGCCGGAAGTTGACCGAAAAGTCCAAGAGCCGTGGTTTCTGGCCAATCCGATCAAAGGGATTTGGCAAGAAGGGCAAGGCCAAAGGCCAAGCCTTTCGGTCCCGCAAGCCGTTAGCCATGAGGATCGCTGAAAGCGATTGCCGACTATGCGGCCAAAGAGGCCATTGGCGGGCGGAATGCCCTCGCCGTCATACCATGGGAGGCTCGGCAACCAATTTGCCACCAAAGACACAGCCCACAAATGTCATGGTTTCCGTGAATGATGTATCCGAAGATGAAGCCGATGTCTTCGTGATGGAAGCCGTGGAAAGCTCTGCATCCGATGTCCAAGCATCCGTGCCATGCCAGGACCCACATGATCATGATTGTAAATCACACTCACATGAATGTTTTGTGGTTTTTGGGCATAAGCAGGGTAAAGAAAGGCATAAAGGTGAATACTATAATCAGGTCTCCAAACGTCTTAGTGAGCTGCTCAAAGAGCAAAAGCCAACCAGTTGCCGCAGGAAGAGTGATCCGACAGAAGCTGGTACAACCCCCTCGCTGAAAGACAACAGATCTGAGAGTTTTGCCTGTTCCAAACAGACCAACAAACCGGTCTGTCAATCCAGTGCCGAGGTGAGTCCAATGGTCCCCCAAGAGATCTCACCACAAACACCGGAACAAGTTTTGTTCGCCACGTCTTTGACCCTAGGGATTTTGGACCTTGGTGCATCTCAAACGGTCATGGGCCAACACCAATTGCCAGAGTTTTTGAGTCATTTGCCAACTCAAGTTCGCAGTTTAGTCCAGGAGAAACCAGTGGAAATGTCCTTCCGTTTTGGAAACAACAGTGTTGTCCCATGCAAGCGTGCTATCTTTGTTCCTATTGACAAGTTTTGGATCAAAATAGCCATTGTTGAATCGAAGACACCTTTCCTCATTTCCAACAATGTTTGCAGGTGTTTGGGAGCTGTGATCGACACCAATAATCAAAGTATCTGGTTCCGCCAATTGGACTGCGAGCTGCCCCTCCAACTCTCCGGCAAGAAGCTGTTCTTGCTAGATCTTTGTGAACTAGCTGCCAAGAAACCGCCCAGAACACCATCTGTGTTGGAAAGATCAGCCAGCATCGCCGAACGAGTGTTTTCATGTCAGGAGAACGAGTCTGAAAGAAGTAGTGAAGTCGTTGAATCCGATGGCAAGATCCACTCCAATCCACATCATTTGAATTCCACTCACCTATGTACAAAGTCTCAACAGTCACATGAACATACCAGTGAAACAGACGTCCATGATCAACCATGTGTACCGACCATGTCAATTGCTAACACCATCAACAGTCACATGAATGAGCGAATTTCGGCCGAAGTGGAGCGTCAGCCTACGACCATCGATCAACTTGAGACCCTGCCGAGTGAATCTACTTGCCATGTCCGAGATGAACCTTGCGGAGCGCTTCAGTGCAGTGAACCAAGCTCAGGATCGGAAGGATCACACCAACAAGTTGCAGAATATGAACATGGAGCAATTGGGCGCACTGACCATAAAGTTTGGAGACACCAAGGTCGGACAGACCTATCAGACCGTGGTCACCGAAGATCCGAAGTACTGCCAGTGGTTCCTTCGCAAGTATGCGACCAGCGAGAAGCCAGAGCATGCGGAGTTCATCTACTTTCTGTCCCTATGGGTGGATCGCAAAGAACTGGAATTGGGAGACCGTGCCAAGACACCAATGGCCAAAGCGATGCCCAAGGCCAAGACTGGAACGGCAGGTGGGAAAGTTGTGAGAACTTCGACGGACTGCATCGACCTGGAAGAGGAGGAGGAATCATGGGATCCAGTACTGGAGCCGGCAACATCGATCAAGGAAGAGCAGAATGCGCAGCGCCTGGACCAGATCGAGAATGTCCTCGCCCAAGTGATGCAGCAACTGCAAGTTCTGACTGCCAGACAGGTGTGACCAGTAGGCAGGAAACATCAATGATCGAGCAGAGCATTCGTGAGTTCAACCAATATGTTCTCCATTTAGGCATGGCTAGTGATGATGATGATCCGAACGAAATGGAAATCAATCATGTGAATCACAATATGGTCCAACAAGAAATGATTCAGTTTGGTCATGCTCATGGTTTCCTGAGCTCTCATGGAGAGTTGATCAAAGTTTTCAATCCCGTCATCGATGTTTTGGAAGTGTATTGCTCTGCTGATAGCCAACTGACACACCAATGCCGACTGCAAGGGTTGAAGTCCGTACGTTTTGGTCTGAAGGAAGGAGACTTAGGCACGTGGGAAGGTCGTCAAAAGCTCTATCATGTGCTGTTTTATCACAGACCTCGTCACGTATGGATGTCACCTCGATGCCGAGCCTGGTGCAAATGGAGCCAGTTCAATGCGAGCAAATCTGCCGAGAGTGCCCGGCGAGTCATGCTGGCTCGGAGTGATGACGAAGTCCACTTACTTTTGTGCGAAGCAGTCTTTCTTCACCAATGCCAAATGGGAACAGCTTTTCACTTTCATCTTGAACAGCCAAGAGGATCCGAAATGCTTTATGAACAACCCTTGAGACCAATTGTGGAATCCACCAACAAGATTGAATGTGACATGTGCAGTGCTGGGAAGCTGAAGCATCCTGTTAGTCACTTGCCTATGCAGAAAAGCATGAATATCCTGTCAACATCTCAACTTATGGATCAGGGTCTATCCCAGTTCAAATGTCACAGAAATCATGAACATGCACAAGTCGCGGGTAGCTGCCGTCTCCCTGACGGCACATATGGCCAAGTATCAGCTTACACGGAACTATATACCCGAGTGTTTGGTCAAAGAGTAGCCCGCATCATCTTGGCCAGTAAGAAAATCCATGAGAAAACACTGGTGCCAGCATGTCATGTGTTTCATGGGGTCAAGCAGGGAAAAGATGTTCCACACGACGATGAGTCTGAGCCAAAGCGCCGACGCCTGAGCTCAAAGACCACTAATCCTCCGGCATATCCGGAAGCTGCTCAGCCTGCTGCAAGTTCGCTGTCTCCTCCCTTTCAATCGGGATCGGTGACTGTTGCCCAAGATGCCAAACAAATCCATCAAGAACTTTTAGAACTTGGCTTGAAGATAGCCCCCAGGGTAGGCAAAGTGGTGATTGAACGTGGCGATTTGTTTGAAAGAGTGCAACAAGCCTATCCAACTTACCGAGTCCGAGTCATCGAGCTGTGTAAAGGCACAGATCGCTTCCGTAAGCCACCTGTGCGACTAGCTCGACATGAGGCTCCATGGAGATTGTCCCTGGGATTGCAGAGACATGACATGCAATCCACCGAAAATGGCTCCTGGATGCAATGGGAGAACTTGAGCAATCGTCAACTATGTGCCAAATCACCTCCCATGCGTTTGATGTTGACCGTCTTTGCCAGCAAGGAGGTAAATGACCTGAAGAGATCCATAGATGAAGTAATCTCAGACCAAGATCATGCAGATACATCCAAACAGGCTCGAATGACCCCTTCCGAAAGTGCAGCACCTGCCCCATTGCAAGTAGGTAGCAGGTTACCTCACGATGACAAACCCCACATGGAAGGTGACGATGACAGCCGCATTCCAAAAGACCCAGAAGAAAGACCCAAATCAGTGATAACCTCAAAAGCCGTTCATGGTCCCAAGTTTTTACAGCTGGATAAGGTAACCCGTCAATGGCTCTCCAAGGTACACCATAACCTAGGACACCCCAGCAGCGTGAAGCTACAACTGGTATTGAAACAACAGGGGTATAGTCCCGAGATCATCCAAGGAGTTGGAGACTTCCATTGCAGTACATGCCATGAACTGCAAGAGCCACGAATTGCTCGCCCAGCAGCCTTGTCCGAAGTGCGTGAATTCAACGATTGTGTTGGATGTGACCTGATTACTTGGACCGCCAAAACCGGAAAGACTCACCAGTGTATCCATTTTGTAGATAGTGCCACCAATTTTCAACTTGCCATGCCTGTGTTTCAGACAGATGCCACAGCATTGTGGGAAGCATGTCATGACTGTTGGTTCAGATGGGCCGGTCCAAGCAAGCAATTAATCATGGACAATGCTTCAGCCCTATGTTCCGATCAATTTGCACAGCTGGCTCAGCGAGAAAACATCCACCTGCGAGTAGTAGCACCTTATGCCCACTGGCAATTAGGTAAGACCGAACGACATGGAGACATTCTGCAGGACATGCTACAAAAGATGGATCACGAAAGTAGTCTGGACTCCGCCGAACAATTCAAATTAGCACTCCACCAATGTTGTTCTGCCAAGAATGCCCTGGCCAGATCAAAAGGGTATACCCCTGAAATTCTGGTGTTAGGTAAAAGCCGAGCATTGCCTGGAGGACTATGTGAAGATCCATACCAACCTGCCAATCATTTAGCTGATAGTGATACACCTGAGGGGATCCAATTCAGACAGCATCTGTTATTGCGTGAATCTGCCCGCAAAGCCTTTGTGCAAGCTGACAACAGCGAAAAGCTCAGGCGCGCGTTCTTGCGCCGACAGAGGCCACACCGAGGAAGGTATGCCAGTGGTACCCTGGTCATGTTCTGGAGACCTGGTCGTGGTGAAGCTCCTGGTCAATGGCATGGGCCGGCCAGAACAATCATTCACGAGTCAGATCATGTAGTGTGGTTATCTCATTCAAGTCGAGTTTTCAGAGTGGCTCCTGAACATGTCAGATGCCTGTCCGAGCGTGAAGCGGTGATGAGTGGCTCCCAGATAGATGCTGGCACGATGGATATTCCGTTCAAAGATCATGGTCGAGGGGTTTTTCAATTTGAAGACCTCACTGGACCTGCCATCTTAGAGATCCCTGATGAAGAAACAACCGTCAACAACAATAATCCGGGAACTATGCCACCGAACATAAACACAACAAACCCACCAGCCAGTGATGTACAACCAGACTCTGAACCTGGTGCCATTCCCACAGATGTAAACTCCAATGGATATACTCCTCCCACGCCACTGAGTGACCAATCCCATGAAAATCTACCAGAAGATGTCGAACTAGAACCAAAGGACATTCCCATTCCAAGTGACTCCAGTGATGATGGTCTGACAGTTGAAGATTACTGGATTCAGCAAAAGAATAAACTCATCAGAGTCCATCAGACACCCCGAAAACAAGCGTTTAATCCAACCATGGCCATGGATTGCCCCGTGAACATCTTGCATATCAGTGACGAGCGATACACTGCGGGTAATGCGCATGACCAAGCCTTGTGGGCCAAGCAAGATGTATGGGATCTCTATGACTCAAATTGGCAGTCTGAGACAGCCTGGACTGGAGTGACCATTTTTTCCATTGTCGAAGAAGCAGGACAACCTTGTGATGCCGTGGATGAAATTTTTCATTTGGATATTCAACAGTGCTTCTCCTGTGAAATCTTTTTGAATCAAGATGACATGGACACATGGTCACAGTCACCAGAACAGTTTGCCATGGTAGCTTCCGCAGCAGCCAAACGACAGCGAGCCGAGGTAAAGGTCAAGGATCTTAATCCCGAAGAACTGGAGCAATTTCGTAGAGCCAAAGACAAAGAGATCAACCAATGGCTCGACACTGCCACTGTTCGAAAGGTTCTGAGAGATAAGATTCCCAGTCAAAACATTCTTCGGTGTCGATGGGTTCTTACATGGAAGGATCTGGATGCCGTTGATGCAGCAAAGGAAGGAAGATCCCGAAAGGCCAAAGCACGGTTAGTGATACTAGGTTATGAAGACCCTGATATCACTGACATTCCCAGAGATTCTCCAACCCTGCAGAAGGAATCCAGATCCCTAGTCCTCCAACTATGTGCGTCACGCAAATGGGTGATACGAAGTTTTGATATCAAGACTGCTTTCCTGAGAGGTTCGAGACGTGATGATCGAGTTTTGGGTATGGAACCTCCAATGGAAATGCGTGAAAAGATGCACCTTAAAGAACAAGAGATCTGTGAACTCTTGAAATCTGCGTATGGACTTGTGAACGCACCGTATCTCTGGTATCAGGAGTTGAAAGACAGCCTATTGGAATTACAATTTTCGATCAGCCCGCTGGATCCTTGCCTTTTTGTTCTAGCAGATGCCAGTGGATATGTGCATGGCGCCATTGGCATGCATGTGGATGATGGGCTGTGTGCTGGTGACAGCGTATTCATGAAAGCCCTCTCCAAACTGGAAGAACGTTTTCCTTTTGGCTCAAAACGGGACACCAACTTCACTTTCACGGGAATCATAATACAACAAGATAAAGAGTTCAATGTACACCTTGATCAAGAAGAATATGTCAGAAACATTGAACCTATTCCCATTGACAGACATCGAAGAAAGCTTGAACAAGAAACAGTGACTGACAGTGAGAAACAGAATCTCCGAGGGCTTATAGGATCTTTACAGTATGCAGCCACCAACACACGTCCTGACATAGCATCTCGTCTTAGCATGCTCCAATCCAAAATCAACTCTGCCAAGATTCAAGACTTGCTCGAGGCAAATAGGTTATTAGGAGATGCCAAGAAAAATGCACATGTCAGAGTGACGTTTTCCAGTATCCCAGAAGAAACAATAAGGATCGTGGCCTATTCAGACGCCTCGTTTGCCACGAGGGATAAGCAACAAAGTCAAAAAGGGGGACTGTTCCTTGCAACCCATGAAGATGTTTTCCACAGAAAAAGTGCCAAAGCAAGTCCACTTACCTGGTACAGTAAGAAGATTGATCGTGTAGTCGCAAGCACTCTGGCTGCTGAGACCTATGCGTTATCTTCAGCAGTTGACATGGCTGACTGGTTACGCCTGGCATGGGAGTGGCTCAGAAATCCTTTGACACCATGGAAAACACCTGAAGTTGTTTGGAAAACAGCACCACCAAGCATAGCTGTAGTTGACTGTAAGTCCTTGTATGATGTCATCACCAAGAATACCACACCACAATGCCAAGAACATCGTACGTTGATTGAAGCACTTGTCATTAAAGACCACCTCAAAACGGGAATCCAAGCCCATTGGGTGCATTCCGCAGCACAACTCGCAGACTCACTCACCAAACATATGGACACTTTCAGACTCAGAGAATTCCTTCAACATCGTTTTTGTTGCCTCCATGATATCGATGAAATCTTGAAACAACGAGCAGATCGCAAAGCACAAAAGACCTGGCTCTCCGAAACCGCGCAAAGACACCTGTCCTCATGGTCCGAAATGGGGTAAAAATGTTGTTAATAATGGGGTAATTTGTTTAGTTAAATTAAATTAAAAATGAAATTTTGGGAGTGTGATTTCAATCATTTGCCACATGGTCCTTCCAGAATCAATCCGGGTTTCAGCCAACATCCGTTCATACATGGCTGCCAAGGGTTTTCACACATCAACCGATGTGATCTTTCGCCGTGCCATAGGGCCCGAGGGGGTTGTACCTACTGGGTGCAGTCCAAGGAAAAAGGGGTTGTGCTTTCCCCGCGGCCGGGGTGCGTGTGAGCCATAGGAGTGGCCTCATTGGGAACATCTATCAGTTTGAGGTTGAGGCAACCATCATAAGAGATCTACATTGGGTATCTGTTCAGGTGGACAACAGTATCAACATCTATCCTTTTGGGATCCTGCTTGCGAGAACCTTGGCCCCTGCCTTTGTGGATATTCCGCATATATATAATACATATATATATATATATCATATATATATATATTATATGACATATTATAGTGTATGTATATATTATATATAAACTGGGACCCGTATTACCAGGTGAAGGCGGATCGCGATGAGTGGGGAATCTCAGTGTTTCACCATGAAAAATGGGGGATTTAACCCATGAATCATGGATTGAATGGGATATCTGGATTGGTTTTAAGTTGCAACCAGAGTTTCTACCCGCTCTTGTATTTTCTATGGTTTCCTGTGAAGTGTTCCACCACTTGGATACTTAAAAGCATAGCTTCCCGTGATGTCAAATACCCATAGTTTGCCTTGATATTTGGAGCTTAAAATCAACCCACAAGACAGATCGAAAAGGAAAATCCTACCCAAACCACTCATAAATATCGAATGTTTCACTAAATCAAACTGCAAAACCAGTAAAATCCACACAATTTCTATCTTTTTTTGGGGGTTACCACCGGACCCATGGATTTCCTCAATTCCTCCGTTGTGCTCGCTGCTCCGTGACCGAAGTGATTGAGGTCGTCTCCTTACGCCGCCATGCTTGCAGCCCAGGATGTGGCTGCTCGCTGCAAGGACGCCATGGGTTGCCAACAAACATTTTTTTTCTGCTGGCAACACGGTCTATCCCGATTTTTTGGCCGGCAAACATATGGCACAATCTTTGGATGGTCCTGAATGTTGGGGGAGCTCTGGAAGCAAAAACCATCAAGGATCAGCATGAAAGCATCATCAATCCTTCCAGGAACTTGGAATCGGTGCCCTCCATATCAAGCTGCGTGCCACTGGTGGCACCAAGACACGAACACCAGGCGGGGAAGTGTGTGATCCACTCGACCATGGCAGGGGTGTGTCTTGCAAAAATAGAGGATATCTGGGATACACCAGATTGATAGCAGATACCACAGAATTTCACAATCTTTCATCAGGGAAAAGGATCATGAAGCATCATGCGAGTTGTATTCCATCATTTTCGGACAACCATGGCACTGACACCCCCAAATCTATCATCAGAATCTTGATCATGATTAGAATCATTCAAGTTATAGAAAAAACATCTCGAACACATATGGGTTTGTGCAAAAAATCGGGATAGACCGTTTGTTCCATACACCCTTTGGTTATTTCATATACCCTCTGGTTTCTTAACATGGCTATGGAACATGGTTCTTTTATAGAGGATTCTCCCAGCTATAATCCTGAATTTATAGAGGAGTTGCCATGGCTTTGTTAAATAACCAGAGGGTGACATCCATTGTATATCACTAAAACCCAATTTAATATTTAATACCACCAATATTCCATCAAAATTCAGTATATTTAATGGCTAATAACCAGAGGGTACAGTAAATCCACGTAAATCCCATTATACCCCCATTATATCCCCATTCCATCCCCATCGTTGGTGGTAAAACCCATGAAATCACCATTTTCAATAGGTAAATCCCATGAAATCACCATGTTTCTTGCTGGAATTCCCTATTGTCCCAACTAAAAACAGGCCCTGGGGCTCAGAGCGCTCTGCGCGCTTTGGCACGATCTGGCATGAAGATTGGCCGCATCGAGGCCCAGTGGGGCTATCTATAACTATCTATATCATTCTATATCTCTATGTGATATAATATAATATAATATAGTATAATATAATATAATATAATATGATATAATATAATATAATATCATATAATATAATATAATAATTATTATATCTACAATATCTATGATATTTAAACATCGAAACATCTATGTCTATATTTCGCCATGCCGGAAAGTCATGGTCATCACCATGAATCCAGGTCGCTACCACGATGCCCCAAAAATGGCTGATGTTGTGCGGCTGATTTGATGTCTTAAAATGTCTTAAACCCATCGGGATATTTATGGTATATATAATATAATGTGTATATATATATATACACATTATATTATATTTTGTATATATACATTATAGATATATGATCTTATACACCCTCTGGTAAACGTTTACATAACTATGGAAAGATCCACCATGCTATCAATGGGTAAATCCACTATGGCCATTTTCAATAGCTTGATTTGATGTCTTAAACCTTTGCGCAATGAGCCCTTTGGATCCAATGATGGTACAATGAGTCGTGAAACAACTCGCGAACTCGTTTTATGTGGCTGTTTCGACATGGGCCATGTAATACAATGGGGCATTCGTTTTCCAAAATGTAGACCTGGAACATCCAGGAAAACCGGACAATCTGATGGCGAACATTCATTTTCCCATATTTTCCCTATGAATATCGACATTTTCGACATTTTCATAGGGAAATGTCCCATTTTCATATGGAAAATGTACCCCATTTTCAGTCCCACCAAAGGTAGGAGATCCGATCCAACTTTTTCCTGTCGCCAGGATGTGACCCCGATCCCCACTGACTGCACCCGCAAGAAGTGCGGTCGCCGTGGACGTCGTCTGTAAGCGGAACGGACCCGGACCGGTCGCCAGAGATGGCCCCCTGCTGATGGAGTTGCTGCAGAAAATCGGAGTTGATGAAAATGTCACCCGGTTGGATTTTTTGAAAGCCCCAGTGTTGTGAAATGTTGTGAATATGTGTCATTGCAACCATCGCTACTTTGAACATCTTTGAACAAACTATTCATAAATGGTACAGCAAGTCGAATGAGATATCATTAAGTGTACCCCAATGATGTAATAATCATTGCAATTATCACAAAGCTGGGGCTTCATTAATCCTGGGTTGACATTCTCTTGGGCGTGCACGCTGCCAACGAACTTGGATGATCCAAGCATGTGGTGAGTATCGAATTGGGTGTGAATCAAACCTATGAAACACCATATTTGGGGTAATGAACATCCAGAACGACCAGCTATTTCCGAGAGAACAGCAGGGTACGGATCGGGTGACGAATCCGAAAAATAAACACTAGTCGCGGGTCTTGACTTTTTCTGGCATTCCATGGTTGCCACTACATGGCTATGTGTGTCAGGATTTTTGGGACTCATGGAGTTCCCATTTGATTCTTTTTTTTTTCTGTGGTGGGATCGCTATTGTCAGACTGGGGACACACACAGACACAATCCCAGTGATTATTGCTGGGCAAAAATACCAATTGGCTGGTTAAATCATATGAAATCCGACTGTTGCTCCTGTGGTGGTTGGTCGAATTCAATGTCAAGGTCCTGAACTGCTAGCGTAGTGCTTTACGGTGCACGCTGCCCATTTTTCCAGACGGGTCGAACGGGAGATCAGAGATAGCAGAACAGCTCAAAATGGCGCCCAAGGCACATCATGGGTGATCACGATTTTAGGAGGGAGACCAATGATTTTGGGGTGCCCGGTACATCCTGGTACCAAACAAATCTGAGAAGCCCCAATGTTTTTTTTTTCCTGGAGTATATGTTATGGATTTCCAAGAGATGTAGAAGTTCATTCCTCGGCAGTCTGATGTGCTTGCTCGTCTTTGAGCCTTGTGACCGGGATTGAAAAAAACCATGCTGATTCTATAAAAGATAGATAGATGATTGTGGGTGAGATTTGAAATGAAAGACACAATTTTGCCTTCAGACTTGGTTGATGATAATGATTACTTCCTATCAATGAAACAACAATCGCTGACTTTCGCATCATTTGGCAACAGGTGGGTGTGTCTGAGAATGATGCCAGGCCAGACAACAGGTTGAAGCAGTGTCCCTCGGGCGCGGAAGCTCAGCAAAGAAGCTCCTGGAAGAACGATAATTTTTTGGCCATCCTCGGGGCTTCATTCGGAATGGTAAGTCATATTAGTGAACCGTCTCCTAATATGGAGGTTATGCACCGCATAAACAGCCCCACTTCGTAAGTGGTGAACATAGTGCCTAGATGTGCATAGATGTGCATAGATGTGCATAGTAAGCTAGGGTGTATCTTGAAATGTATAACTTAGTATAACTCGACATGTCTCTGTAACTGGGTCGTTTAAGTTGGTTAGCCACGGATCGTGACTGCCACATCCACATTGAGCCGCGGCTTCGAGGCCGCAGGTTCGTGAGGGTGAGATCGTCTTCGGCTCCTCAGCCGAGGAAACAAAATCGTGTCTCCAAAGGGACAATTTGGCAATGGGACAATGGGATTTCCATGGGATTTCATGGGATTTCATGGAAATTTCACCAACAATCATGGTGGTACAATGGGAATGGGGATATAATGGAATATTAATGGGATATATTGGTTAATACCCTCTGGTAATCAAACACAGTAATTAATTGGAAATCCCCCAGTTCGCTGAATTTCCCAATTATGAACCTCCGAGGATTTTGCAGCGACGTTTGACGACACAGGAGGGGAGCGGGTGCTTATAGCCGCGATTGAGGCGTTGCTCACATCTACGCCTCCTTCAATGATACCTTTGTCCATGTGCGGCACACAGCTGCGAAGCCAGGGTAACCAGGGATGTGCCATGGCGTGGAAACCAGGTAAAAGCAACAAAGCTGGTGAAACGCAGCAAACATATGCAAACATGAGCTTATCAATGATGGCGATGGGAAAGTTTGGGATAAGGTCTTGAATCTCCCACGATTTGGGTATTGGATTTTTTCTAGGCATTGCTTGAAGGCCTCACTTTTTGCGTTGTTGGTACAGTCCCCAAGTTTGGTAGTTGAAATTTCAAACTATGGTAAACTTTAAAATTTCACAGGCTGAATTGAATTTCCTTCATGAACATCACCTTTGGGAGGCATTAGCTATATAATCACATTTTGAAGTCCGCCAAATATCTTCATTTTTGCTGCTAAACTCCAAGATTTTGCTGCTGAAATCATGTTGGATCATTTTTGAGGTCACCGACCTGTCTGGCAGGGAGACCATCATGCGTGTGACGGGTGGGATGAAGGCACGGGCCCGTTTTCAGAATCCGTCTTACTCGCCGGCAATCAAGAGGGATAACATGGAGAACCCCCCCCAATTATGTCTGAGTGATTTACATGTCTATGACTCTGGTAGTGTTTTTTCTTGCACCAAGTGAGATTCCCTAGGGGCTTTCAGTTCTTTCCTGGTTGTGCGGCAAGGTGAAAGCCGATCGCGATGAGTCCTCTCCCTATGCTGCCATGCTGGCAGCGCAGGATGTTGCGGCCCGCTGCAAGGTGCGGCCATGGCACTGGCTTGGTGTGGGGTTTACCCTCTGGTAAACTAACATAACTATTGAAAATGACCATTTATAGTGGATTTACCCATTGAAGATGGTGATTTTCCATAGTTTTTTGTATGTTTACCAGAGGGTAACCGTTATAAACCCACCATTTGTCGATCATTTCACCCGGGTTCCATGGCTTTTGGATCCAGGAACTTGGGATCAGTGCGTTGCACATCAAGTTGCGGGCCACTGGCGGCACCAAGACACGAACACCAGGCCACTGGCAGGGCAGGGGTCGGGGTGGCAGGGGTCAGGGAGGCCCATCGAACCCCAACAAAAATGCAATTTCCATCCATCTGGCATCATTTGATAGTCTATCTATAGTAGCAACTTAGCCAACTAGGTGGCAACACTTTGCATATCCCCAACTTAGTCTTTGATTAATCACCCTGGCAAGTCCTCTAAGTGGAGTTATCTTATAGATAAATGGGTCACAAGTCACAAGCCGACTTATGAACCTCAGTTGCTAGTGGTCATTGGTTCCAGCAAGTCTATATATTATATAAATAGTTGATAACATCCCCCATTTATTTGCCGGTTAAATATCATTTGTGTTGGTCACCCTCTGGTAACTTAACATAGCTATGGAAAATGGAAAAGCACATTGATTTTGGGTAAGACATCTATATAACACCATTTTCAACAGCTACGTTAAATTACCAAAGGGTACTAACAATGCTTGTCCCACACAAGTGGGCCAGCCATGAACAAGGTCCTGGTGCTCAGAGCGCTTTGCGCGCCTTGGCACGCTCTGGCATGAAGATTGGCCGAATTGAGGTGCCAGGGGGAGTTGGGAGATGTAGGGAAGGGAACACTTTGACTTATAGTTTAACATCATCTAAGAATTATTTTGAATTTATGATTGCTTGTTCTTTCTCGGTTTCCATTGGTTTTCCTGCAAATTTGTCCCTGCATCCAATTCTTGGGAACATGGAGATCTTTTTGAGGCAGCGGAACTCTATGCCTCAAAGTTTGGCATCCCGAACAGCCACTCAGTACGTATGTTTATAGGCCACTTTCAAAGAGGTCTCTAAACACACCATTTTTTCATCCATTTTCCATGGGAAAAATAGGGAAACATGATGATTCACCAGTGAACCCCTCGAGTTTTCCATGGCTTTTTTTTCCATCGCCAGGATGTGACCCCCATCCCCACGGATTGCACCCGCAAGAAGTGCGGCCGCCGCGGGCGTCGTCTGTAAGCGCGGAACGTCTTGGGAAACGGATCGGAGCTGTGGCTGTTTTGCTGCCCAAAAAGGGGGCCGGAAATGCTGGGCTGCTGGGGGTTGTCATTTGGGATTTCACCATGGGGGTTGTAAATTTGTAATCATGGATGGTACATGGATAGAGGATGGGTTCTGCAATGCTACAAAAGGTCTAGGTTGGCTTAGAAGAACTGAACAACAGTTGGCCTAGCCTTTTGAAAGCCAGGTTGCAAGGTCAAGTGCCGATCAACAGGCTCTTAATTCAAATTCATTGGTGCTTTCAATGATTGTAGTATCCTTTGGTACTTTCACATAGCTATGCGAACTCGCAAAAGAATCGGTAAATCATCGCGCCATGTTCCATAGGAGATTGGTCGGAGCAAAATCACCTGCGGAGTTATTTGAAACGATGAAGACTCAAGACTTGCTTGACCTCATGAATTCAACCAATTGACCGGTTACTCTTCTGCTATCTCGAGACTAAGTCGATATGTCGCCTGTAGTTCACTTCAGCTTGATTTAAGTTCGAAATGTTATTTTGAGCTGACCAACGTTCCTGTACAATGGCAGTTTAGCTTTATGTGATTGGAATTGTTTGGTACTCGACATCTTCAATCATGCAGGTGTGATGATGCAAGAAATGACAGAGGATTTTTGGGAACAATGGACTCAGCCATGGCTGCAGCGCTCAATTCTGAAGCTCAAGAGGGTTTGAGAACAGAACCGAATTTTGTGCCATGATTTTAGCCACGACTCCTAAGCCCTCAGACAGTTCCAAGACCGTGATTTTCTGAAAAGCGAAAACACCAGAAAAGAGCAGCGAAACAACACTTGGAGTGATTGGACACTGTTGCGTCTTCATGTGCCAGACAGCTACCCCGCAGTACTATACATAGTTTTTGGATGTTTTTTGGCGGCCAAAACCACAGCTGGTGTTCAGATGTTGCGCCCAAAACAGCTGGTGTGTAACGGCAGGTCGCCCGTTGGGGCCATGGTGTTGCGCTTGTACACTTGAGCGCAAGCGCCACATGGTGCGGGGCCCAACTTGGCAAAAGCTTATCATCCCTGGTGATTCTCAGGGCCCATGGTGGTTGGGATGGTATCTGGTATCTATCATCAGATGGTGGCAGTGGAAGACCACG